CAAAGTGTGGCTCGTCTTCAGACAAGAACAAGTCTAAGAAGAAGAGTAACGGTGTGATCTCCGCCGTGGCCTAAGTCCAATGCGCCCACCATTTCCATGACCGGTTTGAGTCCATGAAAAGAGGAAAATGTAGAAAGCTTGAGCTGATCATCTGTACATGAAAAAAGAGCTGTTGGTTTTCTCTAAACCGAGGCGGCCATGGATGATCGTCTTTTTGTATATCGCTTGTGCTTCTACTTCCTTAACAAAAAAAAAAATACATTTGGTCTCATCTTTCACGGTTTTGGTGGGTGATTGATTGGGACTATAGCTATTCTTATGGATATTTATATATATGTTTCATTTGTTCTAAGTATATGATAAAATCTTAATTATATAAGAGGGTCGAAGCCGGTTTATGTGGCTCCTCTCCGGTTATCTCTTTTTCATTTGTTAATTCTGGATGCTTCTAAAGGAGGCAGTCCCCATGAAAGGCGGAACTATGAAGAAAGTTCCTTTTTTTTTGTTTTTTGAGAAGAAGATTGCAAGTTGTGCATATATGTTTGATTGTGAATAAGATCTTCAGATTTGGGAAAAATACTCCTCTTGGCTCATTTCTTTTACAACAAACTTCCATATAACTAGTAACAGTGACAGAGGTATCACAATTCGGGGACCTCGCCTATCAAATTTAACGACAATCTTGGCGAAAAAGAGCATTTTGTGATGAAAAGCTGGTGGATGGAAGTATCACCAAAACCTCCATGGATCCTTGTATGGAGGAACATAACTATCAGTTGGAGGAAGAAGCCTAAAGGATTCAACTGTTCTTGCTAACACCGGTCCCATCTGCGTTTTTGTACAAACACTTAAAATGAGACATTTTCACACTAACACAGCATAATATCAGAAAGTAGAGGTTACAGATTTTGTACCTTGTCCCATTGCTTGCCAAGGGTTGAAGCGTTGATGGTGTAGAAGTACCCTGCAACGGGTGAGATTCAGATAAACTTTACGAGCTAAAATTAGCATTAAGAGATGCTCGAGAATTACAACTTTGGATGTGAAAAGTTGTCTACCATCACGTTCAGCTGTTGAAGAAATATAGCGTCTGTAAAGCTTTGATGCTTCAGCCTGCCCAAATAACAACGCAGAGGCACAAAATCAGATCATAATCAAGACCATTATGTCTCAAAACAATAAGGATCTGCTCAGAATTAGAGAGAGTTACGGTTTTGGTTGGTGATTTGCGGACAAGGTACTCGTAGTACCAGTACGGCTCCCCATCAATCTACATATACAAAGCATATGGGGATCGTTCTTTTTGTAGATTCAAATTCTTTTTTGTTATGGACGATCATACTTACATTAGTAGTACGTGCATCAAGAACCGAGCTCTCTTCTAAGCGCTGACTTGAGGTGACACGCTGATCAATCAAACAAGCTGATTAAAGTTTGACATGAAAGAGAAATTGTTCTTATGGTGTGTTTCATGTAAGATAAGTAAGTTACCAATGCCGATTTATCAGACAAAACAGAGTCAGCAACGTCTTTGGCTGTCCATGTTTTCTTTTCTTTTGATGTTATGAATCTTGAGTTTGGGGGACCTATCTGGATCAAGAACCGTAAAAGACATAACGCGAGAAAGATATCAAAGAGAAAGCGGTCCTAAGGGTAAGTGGGCAACACAAGAGCTTACCGAAACAGAAATAATGAGGTTGTCCATGAGGTCAACTCGTTCAGAAACAATCCGTAGACGCGCATCAGCTAAACCAGTTGAAACAGATTCAGTCACAGAAAGCATCCAGAAATTCATGGAAACAATGGAAAGCATAGCACTTACGAGAGAGTGGTGCAGCTGAAGAGTAACGTTCAGGCTTTCTTGATTCGACCCTTCATAATCAAATGTAAAAGAGTAAGATACAATCTTGAATCATTAGGAAGCATACTATATCAAAAGAATCAGTAATTTCAGTTTGTAGACAAATATAGAATACCATTTGAAGACAAGCTTCTCAGATGGATACTCCAATGGGTAAGCATAAGAATAAGCATTTATATCATCCACCATTGAACCCATTTTCAGTTCTTCTGCACCCATTTTCAGGTCTTCTTCTGCATGAGTAACTGCAATTGCAGAAAATCCCCAAACATTGAACGAAAAACAGAAAACAAAGCAAATCATACAGAATCCAGAAAGTCTCTGATATAGCATCAGAACATCAGAGCTACTCTATTCCTTCCATGAACCAGCACTTGCTCTACTTACGCCAAAATTCTTAGCTCGAAGTAAAATTTTACTCTATACCCAAATTTGAGAACATTACCGGAAGATACTGGCAAGAGCATAGACAATGGAGAAGAGAGACCAATTAACACCAAATCCCTACGAGAAAACCCTACTTCCGGAGAAATCGATCTCGTAGAAACACCAGAACGAGCAATCGTAACCTCCTTCGATTCTCCATGATACTTGCTCGAAATGTTGCTGCTCCTACACCTGAAAAACCTCATCAAAATTTCACAAAACGCTTTCGAAGAAGAAATAGCGCGAATACACGAATGTTGCAGATAATAATTTACATGAAAAGACGATTGTTCGGAGAAGACAGATATGGACAGAGAGAAGCCATAGCTATGGCGTTTCTGGAGCTTCACTTCTTCTTCCTTAGCCAATAGCTATGGCGTTTCTGGAGCTCCACTCTTGTTATCAATCGGTATACTTAACCAAACTCTAAACCGAATTTATAATATCTGATTTCCGATTTATACCGGAATAGATGATTCGGTCCTTATTCCAGTCAAGGATAAAGATAATCGTGTATCCAAACGCACCCCATCGACTCTTTTCCTTCTTTATGATATTTATTATG